AGGGGGTTCGAGGGGTTTCTCGAGAGATTTCCAGAGTTTCTCGAGGGAGTTTGAGGGGTTTCTCGAGGGGGTTCGAGGGGTTTCTTGAAGAGGCACAAAGCAGGAATGTTAACCCCAAGATTTCGTTTCTTCTTTCCAGAATTTGGAACACAGATAAATATTTCGTTTATATGATGAATCTAAATAGTATAATTAACTGTTCACTGTCAAATATTCAATAAATATAAATAACACAGATAGTCGTATCTAATCTATTAAAAAGCAGTGAAGATAATAATTAAAAAAGAAATAATTTTTAAAAATCCCACTTCCTTATACTAGGTTGGTGACACCATCTAACGCAATATCGCTGAAACTTCTAGTAAAATATTACCTATTTCTCTCCGCTAGGTGCCACTATAATGATTATCTGTAGTCAATGTGTCGGTAATATATATTGTAGATAACGTCAATTTCTGTTTGTTATTAGAAATCGTTTAACTAAACATTTTATAAATTCTTTAGTTAATATCCGTGATATTCTTTTTGTAATTAGTCAGTTGGAAACAAGCCGTCATAGAAGTTGGTCGATAAAAATATTTCAACATTATAATTTAGTGAACATTGTAAATAAATAATATATTGAATGAAGAAACACGCTACGTATCGTTACCATATCGGCTGTGATTGTGGTAATGCCTTAAGTCTGTGTTTTTTAACTGATGTTTGGTGTATTCATGTATAGATGTCGCACCATTCAAAAACCTATAATACAAGAAGCGTCGCATGGTGCGATTACTTTACGCAGTGAGCCATACGACGAATGAATTGGAGATCATTTGGTAGTATTCGAAAGCATGGCAACTGCTTTGAGACTGAGGCTTGCACTTAAATTAGGAAGATCTCTTTCAAGACCGCTCAGTCGGAATTTTGAAAGAGATTATTTAGAAAGACAATGTCGAAGACTTTCAGGTTTGTTCATTTTCATAGTATATTAATTAAGTTTATGTTTCTATTTTAACAATTAAACATATTTTAAGGTTACATAGATATATTTGTTGCTTTTATAGATTGAATGTATTTTTACTGATAAATTGAATGTTAGATAATTAGTTTCTGAGCTTTCAATAACCTATTGCAATCACCTAGCAATTTAAGTGTTATATACTAAGCGTATATGTTACAGCAAATTGCTCAATAAGATGTTTTTCTTCACAAACTGCAACTCAAACCACAGAACAGCACAATATCATAAAGGATACAGAGAAACCTACAGGTACCATAGAAATGTAGTCTATTGTATTATAAGCCTGATAGTGCATAAAAACAAATCCATGGATATAATGTAAAAGTAATTTATTTTAATATCTATGTGCTTCTATCTAGGAGAAACTGTAAAACATGAATTTAAATCTGAAACACAAATGCTCTTACAAATTGTTGCTAAGTCTTTATATTCAGAGAAAGAGGTAAAATTGAGTTTATATGCACCAATTTTTAATAAATTATAAAAGTTGATTGGGAATAGCATTTGTTAATGATTTTATTGTTTGTGATCTAAGGTATTCATTCGTGAATTGATCTCCAATGCTAGTGATGCTATTGAGAAACTAAGATATGTCAGGTTGAGTGACAATGAGGCATCTGAGACTGCTGGTAATAGAAATTTAGAAATTCACATTGCCACTGATAAACAGAATAGAACCCTCACAATTCAGGACACAGGAATTGGCATGACTCGTGAAGAGCTAATATCACATTTAGGAACTATAGCCAGATCTGGTTCTAAAGTAAATAGAGTTGAAGTATAATATAGTACATAATTCTCATAATTTTCAGTTTTTCAAACTAATATTAATTACAGGCGTTCCTAGAGAAATTAAAGGAATCCCAAAATGCCAGTGATACATCTCAAATTATTGGTCAATTTGGGGTTGGTTTCTACAGTGTTTTCATGGTTGCTGATAAAGTAGAATTATTTACAAAATCCTTTAAAAAAGATTCTGAAGGTTTATGTTGGACCTCTGATGGGTAAGGAATTTAGGAGATATTATCTATGATAATTTTCTTTATATTGAAATATTCATATATTAACATGAAACAACATTGTATGCAGTTCAGGTACTTTTGAAATCTCAACAGCTGATGGAGTTCAGCCGGGAACAAAAATTGTAATCCATATGAAAGTTGATTCTCGTGAATTTAGCGACGAAACTACAATTAATAGTGAGTTCATTGAATTGTTTTTTAATATTTTAACGATCACTAACGATTATTTCAATATGTCACAGGTATCATTAAGAAATATAGTAACTTCGTCAGTATTCCTATTTATGTTAATGGCACGAGAGTTAACACAATTCAGGTAAATTTGAGGAAAATGTTTTATATTTATCACTTGCGTCACGTTTATTCATTTTCCATTTTTAGCCGCTTTGGATGCTTGATCCAAAAGACATTACGCAGCTTCAGCACGCCGAATTCTATAGATTTATTGGGAACTGTTTCGACTCTCCGCGATTCTTATTACATTACACTACTGATGTTCCTTTGAGTATTAGAGCATTATTGTATTTCTCTGAGGAAAAACCAGGATTATTTGACTTGGCTAGGGACACAAATAGCGGTGTCTCTTTATACAGTCGAAAAATTTTAATTAAAAGCAAAGCAGAAAATATTTTACCGAAATGGCTACGTTTCGTTAAAGGTGTCGTAGATTCCGAAGACATTCCGCTTAATCTAAGCCGGGAATTATTGCAGAACAGTGCTTTAATTGGGTATGAAATACAAAATTTGTTATTCGCACATAAATAATAATTCCTTTTATTTTCTACAACTCATTTCAATTCCAGAAAATTGAGGAGTGTTTTAACATTGCGCATTCTGAAATTTTTGAACGAACGATCTCAGAAAGAGGCTGAGTCATATAATGAATTCTATAAAGACTATGGTATTTTCTTGAAGGAAGGTATTGTCAGCAGTCAAGATCAGAGAGAGAAGGAAACAATAGCGTCACTTTTAAGATTCGAGTCATCTGCAAAGCCACCTAAAGAATTAGTTAGCATAGATGATTATTGCAAATGTATACCGGCAGATCAAACGACCATATATTATTTATCAGCGCCCAGGTAAGAAACTAATTATTTCTAATCGAACAAATTAGTTAAAAATTTTCATAAATAAATATTATAATTTTTCTACTAGTCGAACTCTAGCCGAGCAGTCGCCGTATTATGAATCCTTGAAGAAACGTAATGTGGAAGTATTATTTTGTTACGAACCGTACGACGAGCTAGTTCTAATGCAATTACGAAATTACAAAACCTATTCTCTGAGTTCTGTTGAAAAAGAAATGCGCGACGACACGAATAAATCTAACGATCTCAGTGAGTCGTTTAAATTATGATAATTTGTAAATATTCTAGTATATTTGTTTTAACATTTTTTTACATTCGTTTAGATCTAATCAATCAGGAAGAAATCAACAATCTCATAGCTTATATGAGAAACGTTTTACCGAAAAAGGCATACGACATTAAAACGACTACACGTCTTGAATCGCATCCCTGTGTTGTGACGGTGACAGACATGACGGCTGCTAGGCATTTTGTCCGGACGCAGACTCACCAAATGGATGAAGAGCTGCGGTACTCTGTCCTCCAACCACGCTTGGAAATTAATCCTAATCATCCTATCATTAAAAAGCTGTGCCAGTTGATAAAGACAGATACCAAGCTGGCAGATCTTCTCATTCAACAGGTATGTTTTTTAATTATACTTTTATCGATATCGAGTGTCTTGTAAATTAATATATTTATTCATTCCATGTTAGCTGTTTATGAGCAGCATGGTTGGTGCCGGTTTAATCGAAGATCCCCGAATATTGTTAACGCCAATGAACGAGCTGTTAACTTTAGCACTAGAGAAACATTAGTTTATACTTAGTTTAAGATGTTACCAATGCAACCAATTAGTTGTAATTATTTTCTATAAAAGTGTCTCCCGAATAAAACGACTGTTTTACATTTATAAAACCTTCTTCTTCACCATTAAAAGAACATTCTGTACAATAGACGGAGTTTACTGAAATATTAACTAAAACGTTGACAAATCTCGGGAGAAATGTGGAAAATTAGGGTAGAACCTATGGAGTAATATAACAGTACAAAACCGTAGGCAAGATTGTTTTCTTTATTACAATAGGTTGATCTTGTACAAATTAATTATAGCCTTATAATTATAACAAGTCAAGTTCCTCACTGTCTGAAAGATTCCATGATAATCGATATGTATTCTATTAGCGGGGCTAAAGTGTTTACGGTGAATTTGGAAGTTGTACCCACATAACGTTTCCTTTTTTCCCTTGTTTCGTTCTATACTCTTCTTTTCTCACAATTGTACAATTATGGCAAGTTCGTGATAAAGTGAAACGTAAAAATAGAACTGTTCATT